GTTAAAGTCCGAAAATAGATGCATTAAAAAAAAAGTAGTACAAACATACAAACATATGTATGTGAAGATATGAAACGAACCCATGAAATAAGTATACGAGTAAAACAGAAGTTGTTAGTGAACAGAGCACACAAAATTTAGCGTATGTGTGCTTGATGCTTGTGAACGTATTAAAACAATTAATCATTCGCACAATTACGAACTGGAGTTCAAAACTAATGGGCATTTACGAAATACACATAGCTCATTTGCATGCCCCCTCTCAGCGTTGTGCACATTTGTTGGGCCCAAAACACTCGAAAACGCGACACACTAAATTGATGTTGTCTGATGATTATTTTGATAGCAATAAAGCTTCTTCACATAAATACATGCATATACATATTTAAATATGTGCTTAAATAGTCTACATATACTATATAGTATTGAAAGTATACCCTGCAGAAAAAAATGATCAATTGATAAAAAAAAACATAAAGCTAACTTTAAACTAGTTGAGAAGTAGTGCAGAAGTAATGCAGACGTAAATGGGCTTATTGTTTTCTTTAAACAAGTTTCTATTAAAAATCCTCATACAAATTTTACTATGAATACACTTTCTTATTGCACTTCACAACAAAAAAAAAATACTTTGTATCTCTTATTGATATTTTATGTCCAATGTAGTTAGTTACAAGTTAGTTGACATCTCATGCAGAGCTAACCACCCTTGAATATTTCGCGGCCATCGCCATAGAAATATAGTTGTCTTTCCTCGAAGAAAATATACAGATAATAGTGATCTTTATTTCGCTCCTAATCAACTTCAAGTTAACTTATAGTGAGATACATTTCCCGCAAGGTACTTTTATGTACATATGTATGTACGTATACCAAATTAAAACAATTTATAAATTATAATAGCTTTTGCTTGTCCACGGAGTTTAGAATAATACTTAACAAAAAAAATCGAGCCCTAACCGCCAAAATAACGTAAGCGACATTTTTTTCAAAATTTTCTTTTTGATGCAGAAATATTCCTGGAGCATCGAGGTACATTCCTGCATCAAAAAGAAAATTTTGAAAAAAATGTCGCTTACGTTATTTTGGCGGTTAGGGCTCGAAATGTTAAAAGAAGAAAGCATGTACATATGTATGTAGTATGTACATCACAAAAATTGCAACAACACAGACTGAAATATAAAATACATGCATATGTTTAAGCATACATACATACATATTTGTTTTATCTCGCGCAGTCAAATTAAGCGCTTTAGTGATAATAAAATTTTTTTCCTACATCGTTTTCGGCGAATTGAGGCTGTGATAAGTTTCACTGCTGCAAATGTGTTCGGCCCCGCTTGCAAATTAAGTAATAAAAGTGACAAAATTTTTTTTCAGAAATCTTTCTAAAGATTAGTACCTATAGTGTAAAGTTTATAATGAAGCTTATTTTCATTCATTGTCGGCTATTGTTTTTTTCTTTTTTCAACTGCTTGTTGTGCTACCCTTTCGACAGTCATTCAGTTTCATTCTTAGGCTTGGGGTATTTATAGAATTAAATCTTGCTCTGCTTTATTGTTGCATTCTAATATATTCTTAGGACGTTCAGCAGCCTTACACCTCTATCAAAGTGCAGCGAAAATCTGCAGAATAATGCTAATTCGAGCGAGCATTGATCGATTATATCAATATATAGATTAAATAAACAATAAGTGATGAAACTGCCATAAATTAATATATTGTTATCGCTTAAGATTTTGCTAGTATTGCACTGATGCGCTTGAAGTTTAGTAATGCATATTTAAAAACTATAATCGCATTTTCTTGGAATAAATGAGAAATAGGATTCGCTGATTTTTACATAGAAATCACTTTCCAATTTTTTTTATAAATTCTTCTTTATTATGAAATACTAGAATATGTGCTAAAAATTTCTAAAGAAGTGGTCTACCTTTAGCTGAAATGACGACCTGTATTTGCTCAGGATTTTATAGAAACAGGATTTCGACCGTAATTTAGGTATGGTTCATAAAATGAAAGTTTCGGGAGTTTTCAAAAATTTCTGCAGTTTTTTTCGCAATGATTCAGAATTTTATGCTTTTTTAATAATTTTTTTTTTTGGGAAATTGTTGGATTTTTATCGGGATTTTTCAGGATTCTGCGCGTATGGTGAATTTTCGCTTTCTTTTATGTTTTTCGAGAAACTTTCAATCTTACGCCAACTCGTTATGGCTGATGGTTTTAATAAACCGCTTTTTACAACGCTTTTATCAACTTGCAATGTTGTGGATCCAGAAACTTTCAATGTTGTGTGTCCGACACCATAAAACATCTGTAGTGAATAGAGCGAGGTAGATGACATCTAGATGTCGCCCTATGTACTACGTTTGCTACAGCGGAAATAGACGACACGCCATTTCTTTAAATAAAATTAATTGGTGCTCGTTTGTATGTACATACATATGTAAATGCATGTGTGTGCACCTTTCTATTAATATCGTTGAATTATTTTAATATCTACTGCAAAATTTTATTCAGACAGGACTAAAAAGTAGAAAATAATATTTCTCAGTCCCATAGAATTTGTTTTGATAACTTTTGATTTTGAAATTTTAGCAAAAGTCATTATAAGCAATCTATGAAATTGAAAATGAAAAGCGTGGGGCGCATGTAATACACTTGAATTGATATGAAAAGTAATATATGTATGTATGTATGTGGGTATATGAATAACGACCGCTTAAAATCGATTTCAAAGTTCTACTTTCGCTGTAGAAATTTTAGGTCTACGTTATGTAGTTTGACTATTGTCAATTAAATCGAATGCTTTGTATTGCATGCGCTCCACGTTTTTCATTTTCAATTTCATATATTGTTTATAATGACTTTTGCTAAAATTTCAAAATCAAAAGTTATCAAAACAAATTCTATGGGACTGAGTATTATTTTCTACTTTTTAGTCCATTTATAAAAGCGTTGTATATTAAAAAGTTTTTTTTTGTATTATTTATTCAGTTTGGTTTTCTATTGTCTGCCGAGGAGCGACCGCTTAAGAATTTTGTTTTTTTTTTTCTTCCTTTCTTTCGTTGGATCGGACCAGGAATCAAACGCGGTTCATGTAGGGTTCGGAAGCCGCTTTTATGATTGCCTGAAGATTAAAAACCAAAATTCGCATACGGTGAGCTAGAGTGGCGGACTTTTATCACAGAGTGACGGACAACTTATCGGAAAATGCATCTAGAATTAAGTTCCCACGACTAATACTATGTTCACGTTGAAATATTAACTCGAGTTTAACGTTTTGAGTTAACGAACAGCTGTCAGGTGTTCTCGTTGGGGTGTTTAATAAACTCCGAGTTTAGTTTGACGTTTGTTTATTTACTTTCGCTTATTCGCATTCTGCTAACATATTTTTACGAAAATGCCTTCGAATATAAAGATTGTTTTTTTTTTTGTAGTGAAAATATATTTCCAAACTATTCAAAAATATGTGGAATTGGATAGTACATGTGCAAATATTGTGCATTGAAGAACCAAAATTTCAACTACTCGAATAGCGAATGTTTATCGCTATACCATCTTAAGTGCCTTTCACCTCCCTCCCCTACTCAAGTTGCAGCTCAAAAAAACAGGAAATTTGAAAGCTGTAAACATTTCTAACGGTACGTTCACACAGAAAGCGGGGCCGAGCTGAGGGAAGCTTTCAAATTGCTGTAGCTATATGATAGTGTTCATACAGCAAGTCTTTTCAGAAGCGTTATGGAGCTGAAATCCAAACAGTTTTTGATTTTGAATTTTCTATATAAATTTTCTTGACGCTGCTAAAACAAGATATTAAAATATTCAAATAAATACGAATATTACAACAAATCCTTTGAATAAAATTGAGCAAATATTTTTGCCGCTTTTCATTGGCGGTAAGTTTTTTGATATTTTTGCAGCCGAATCCAAGAGAAAAGCTCCACTTCGCTTCGTTCAGTGTGAACACCGGCAGCTTCGCTTTGTTCCGCCTTGCTGCGCTCGGTGCCGCTCTGCTCTCTGTTTGAACGTACCCTAAGGCATTTTCAGAGGCCAAAATAAGGAACTTTTTTTTTAATAATATTCAACACTAAAAACAATGTATACTAATCGCATATGTATATACATACATATACATTTTTTTCATGGTATGGTCGGTGGAAAAATATGTAAACCTGGTCATTATTTCTATTGACGGTTGTCTTAAGCTTTCATTACTAGGAATTTTTGTCGGACTAAAATCTTCTTTCACCGTAAATAAAAAAATCTAAAATTTTTTATTTCAATTTAAGCTTTTGCTAAGTTGAAGATGCAGACATCAAACAATTCCCATATGAATAGCATACGCTAAGAAATAGTTTTCTCATCTTCTGACGAACGTATAACTTTGAGTTGTGTCACTTTGAAGACAGAAAGTGTGCGATACCCTATTGCTGTCAGTATAAGTGCAGACACACACATTTTGAGAACCTCATGCATCTACACCTTACAGCGTGTATTTTATTTTAAATTTTAACTCTACAGATTGCAACTATACAATGTATTATGCTTACGTATCTATGTATATAAATTTGGTTCCAAAAACCAAATTTATTTACAAAATCTTTATCTCCCTTAAAATCACACTAGTAATTCTATCTTGTGCCAGTATTTTTGTTTGTACATAAATATATGCTAAGCGTTGAATTATTAAAACGTATGCACAATTTGATAACAAATTTATTGTTGCATAATTTTGAAATGTGAGCACGCGCTCATCCCAAATGCACAATCATAAGTACTACAATCAAGTAAGCGTATAAACATAATTTAGCATTAGTCATGCGGTTTGTGTCGCGCAAATGCGCACAACCGTACATACAAAAATATGTGGGTACATTTATCTGAGCGATTTAACGAATTTATGTACATGCGGCAAATATAAATTCCTGTTTACGATACGCATTTTCCAACAAAATACAAAAATTTAGATAAGTAAATATCTGTTCTCTCTTTTGCAGCTTGGTACATTGGTACCCATTGCCACACCCGCCCCACCGACTACTGTCGCACCGCCAGTACGCGTCGATATACAATCATCTAATCTGCTCAATAACCTGCCGCCACTACTAAATACGCCAACGGTAAGTGAAGTGAAGAGAAGGAGGGTTTTCCTTTTTTTGTTCAAATATTTTTTTATGTATATGTTTTTGCGTGTTTGTGTATATGTTTTTTGGGCTACTTTTTTTTATTTTTCGCGATGTTAAAATAATGTTTATTAGTTGTAGAAGAGTTTGTCCTTTTCAATCGATTTTTGTTGGCTGAGTCTCTGTCATTTGAATTCAGTCACGCAGCCGTACGTAAATTTTGGTAAATTATCTGCGAAAACAAATAATTTTTTTCTAACTAGTAACGTTGGAGCTAAAATTTTCAAATCTATTGAAAGTGACAAATTTCTTCTCAGTGATATAGTTATGTATACCGCTCGGTTTAATAGCTTTTTCAGACTCATAAGCCATATGTTAACAAAGTGTACAATATTACAAATATAATGTGCATACCCTAATCACCACAACTGACACAAATAATTGAAAAAAAAGAGCACACAACGCAACACTCGAAATACACCAACTAAAACTCCATTTTACTATTTATTTGTGCTACGAACACTCCAAAAGTAGCGACAGATGGCAGCGTTCGTTCGGATGAACTTGCCAATACGGAATTATCTCCGACGACAGTTGATCCACATTAACCCCAATGTGAGCTATTTGCAAAAATTAATTTTTTTAATTTTTTAGATTTACATTTGTTATACACACATAAGTATATTAATACATAAGGGTGGTCCTAAAAAGTATCAATATATAGATTTTATATTGGCCACCCCTTAATTTTTTTCCTACGTACAAAAAATAAATACCTGCAGGAACACATAAAAATTTTTAAAAAAATTTTGGGATTCTAAAAAATTTTATTTTTTTCATCGCAAAGATTCGACAAAAAATTTACCTAAATCTGATAAATAAGACATACTGTCGAAACTTATTAATTTTAAGTTAATATTTTGTCGAATTTCTGCGATTTTTTTTTAATTTAAAAATTTTCATGGATATCAAATTTTGATTGCAGAACAAAATAAGTGGTTGTCCCATAATATCGATATTTTAAGCAACACCACATTTAGAATTTTGTTTTATTTTATTTTATATCACATAGATATTTGAAGCTAATAAGATTTTAATTTTATTATACAGTGACACAAACAAATGTCCACGTGTTGATTTTCTATAAATACTCGTAATGTTTTTCTAGCTAAATTTTTTTTTGTTATTTTTATATAAAAATATCGTCTAAGCCTTAACCAAAACCGTGTAAATCACAGTTTCAAAATTTATACAAAATTTAGGGAAATTCAACAAATTTTCATCAAAATTTCAACTTTTTATTCTGAATTTCTAAAAAATTTTTGGATAAGCAGTTCTATAGCCCATAAAATTAAGTATAACGAATTGCAAGTTTCAAAGGGCTAAATATTTTAAAAAACCCGAAAAAGTAGCTTACAAAAAAAAATCTCAAAAAATAACGCGCTTTTTTAGCCTTTTGAAACTTGCACTTCATTACACTAAAACTGAATGGACTAAGAAACTGCATACCCAAAAATGTCCTAGAAATTCAGAGTTTAAATTTTGATGAAAATTTGGTGAATTTTCCTAAATTTTGTATAAAGTTTGAAACTGCAATTTACACGGTTTTCGTTAAAGCTTAGATGATATTTTAATATTAAAAAAAAAAATCACGTGATCATTTGTTTGAGTCACTGTGTATTATAAAAAATTTTATTCTAATTTATCGAAAAAGTCAACTATTACAAATTTCGAAATTGAAATGTATGTTTGCTAACCGAACCCACGACTTCGCGGCTCGCTTAATACGCAAAATTGCCATATGTCATTTTACAATTTTGATTCACATCAACAGCTCAGTTAATCCGCATTAACGTTGCCGTCTGTCTATGCTATAAAGCATTCAACTTTCACCTGAACTAAGTAGTTACAATTACACCGCACTCATCCACATTTTCTCAAGACCACTGGCCATTTGCAAGTTTTTTCAAGCACTCAACATAATTTCTTTTACAAAAAACTTTTTTAGTTTTTGCTAACATTTCTTCTAAATGAATTTTTATCAATAAGTACTTTTCCTTACACTCCAGTTAGTTGCATTCACTCTCCCTAAAAATATATTTTTGTTTTCTCATTGCAAACTACTTTACTTTTTTGCGTTTTCTCTTGTTTACCTCGTGTTCGTTGCATTCATTTACCACATTCTCCTGCAAGCGCAAATAAATTTTCGACTTTTTCGTTACAGTCGAAGTTCGCGTAGTCGATTTAAATTCTTTCCTTTTCGTATTTTATTTGAATTTTTTTTCTTTATTTGGAATTATTTCTATCTTCGCGCTTTATGATCTAAACTAAAAAATATTTTTGGAAAGAAATACATATTACATCAATTTGATATTTTTTTTCTTATACTTATCTAGTTTCTTCTCTGGGTCTTCCTTTGCTTACATGTTTTTCTTTTTAAATAGTTTAAGACTTGGTTTCACTAGAAAATGGCAATGAGCTGTTATTTATTTCAACCGCATTCATTTCAGAAGCTCTTAGCATTCAAAAGACATGAAATCTTAAACTTTAAGTTGAATAGACCAAGAATGGGAAGATAATCACTTTTATTCGTCGGAATAATTTTCTGTTTGTTACCGCATAATTTTGGACCACGTTAACCGATTCCTATAAATCTTTTATTATAATATAGTTACCCTAAGTATCGCTAAGTTAATAGTTGCGGCACAAATAAAATTCATCTGGAAAATAATATGGTTTTAGACAGGCGATTTCTTTTATATGTAGTGGATCTGATCGATAAACCTGCTGAAATGTAAGGCTTGCTGTTTTTGTCTTTTTAATTAATTGTTACATATAGGTGAAGTTGTTTTGGTACTGCCAAGAAAACCTTGTTTGAGGATATTTAGCTAGGCTGTAGACGATTTAGGGCATTTCATAGAGAATTTCCAATCGGTTAAAATTTGACCAATCGGCTGAGACCGAATCACTGATCAAAAAAGGGTTGGCTTGTGAATAAATACAATTTACAATTTGTTATTCTTAGTAGCGAAATGGAGTATTTTTCATACTATTTCTCCTTTTAGTAGCAGTATGGTACATTTTGCTGCAAATGCATACAAAGTAGTACATATGTAGAATAAAATTAATGCGAAACCCTTGTTTTGTTTGATTTTAACGTGTTTTTATACACATACATATACCGTTTCTTATAACACACATGTAAAAAGTAGTAAAAAACTCGACCGAAGAAACACAACTGGTAAGAGGGTAAGAATGGAAAAAATTAGAGAAAAATTGCCATGACCAGGGATGACATGATCGTCTGTGCAACAGCGCCCTAAGCGATTTTGGCCGGGTTCAACAAAGCACGCCAGTCGTTTCCCTTCTAAGCCGGCTGGAAATTATATTACTATCTGTGAACGGTGGTTGTATTACAGGTTAAGTGGACAGCAGATGGTAAATTGTTTAGCCCATCATACCCAATAAAGCAGCTGTACAAGCAGCAACATGAGTGATGCGTTTTTTTTCTAGCGTATTAAAGTTGTTGTATCTAACTAAATCTTGATTCCAAATATTACACTTCGACCGATACTCAATCAAAGATATATAGGGTTTTGGCCCAGAAACGGCATACTGTAGACCGGTTGGGATAAGTTCTATAATATGAAATTCTATAGTAAAATAAAGCTGCCTTATTTTATTTACGCTTTTCTTAATATTAAGCTTCTACCTACAGGGTTGTACTAGACTCTTTGCTTATTCGCGATACGACTATGACTTCAATCGGAGCTTTATAATAAAATTTTTGGCTCTCAGGGAAGGCAGCCGTCTTGAAGTCTTTGTATACAAAATAATCTCCTTTTACCAAACTAGGAAAGCAAATGCGAAACGTAATCCACTAACTTGATTTTGAAGAAGAAAAGATTTTCACTTTTTGAAGAGTTTAAAATGTTAAAAAACAAAAGACTTATTTCCCAACTATGTAATCGTCTTTGTCAATAATAAGTACCACTCGAAAATGTTGTAATTGAATTATAAACTGTTACTTACTCTAAAACTTACAAACTAACCGGGTATACTATGAATATCAAGCACTTATTTTAATGTTTTTGAAATGCTGATATGTGAACACTGTCATGAACATATAAATAACTGAAGTCATTGCAAATTTTTTACGATGCCTTACATTGTATTATCATATATTTGGGATTCCACTTTTCACTTACCTCACGCCCGAAACTCACATAAAACTCTTCGAACATTAAAGTTCATATGCACTTAACTATTTTTATGTACGACACAGTCATAAATTTTTAGAGCTACAAGCGTTTTCCTAACTAATTAAATGTTCCTCGCTTTTCTATGAACGCACCTCATTCGCGGCATACTTCGCACAAAATTGCAATCAAATCCATATTAGTTTATTTTAATGGGTCAAAAGGTTGACATACAAATGAGAGAATAGTAAGCAGCGTAGCGTGAAAAAACGCAATAATGAATGAAATGAAAAATTTAGATATATCTTTGGCAGGCTAATAGAAAAAAGCAGCGGTGAAAAATATTAACAAGTATGCTTGCTTTAGTTAAAAATTATGAAACAGCAAGCTCTCGTAAAGGGGATTTTTCTTACAATCGAATGAAGAGAGAATAATATTGAAGATTGTAATTTTTTTCAAAAGAAGTAGTTCAAAATTTTTGTAGAAAGTACATAAGGCTGAAGGTGATCGGCCTGTAAGAATTAATGTGGAATCTTTGCCTGACTTTGGTATCATAAATAAGTATTTCTGAATTAATTAGACGTCAATGATTATTGTTAAAATTTCTAAAAGAAATTTAGCTTTTTAAACGTGTCTTTCAACGCATTTCACATTGAGTATTCTTTGAAGCAAAGCATATGGAACTGGCAGCAGTAGAACAGCCATTACCGGTGCAATGTGCAATGGTATGGAAGCAATTTCAAACTTTTTGAAGAGAAAAGATATTCATTAGGCAACACTGAACCAAAAAATTATTGC